ATGGATTATTTACTTGTGAACTTGTGGTAGGCTTTTATTCTAATTGTGATTATCTTTGATAAAGATATCAAGTGTTTAAGTGGAGAAAATTGTGATGCCTCGAATCCCATATCGAATAAGAAGTGTAAGTGAGTATGATATATAAATGACTAATTACTATTAATAACTTGAATTTTTGAAGGTCATAAACCTTGCCTAAAAAATTATTAAGCTAGTGACTGGGTCCGGCCTGAGTCACAGCTATTAAAGTATAGTTTATTATGATTTTGGTATTTTTTTAAAAAAAAAATTTGTAACTCTTAACAAAAAAAAAAAAAAAAACTTGTTTAGTTTCATGTGTTTTTGCAACATATTATTATGGTTATAAAAAAATAAGAATAAAAATAGCTTTAATGCTTCAATAGGTTCATAATTTTAGATGTTAGCATTTTCTTAAACAAATTGTTAGTTTTTTATTTTAATTTTTGTTTTTACTAGTTGTAAAATTTATAAAAATCAAAACTAAAAATAAAAAAAATACAAATATATTAAATAGAACCTAAATAAGTGAGACAATATCAGTGTCAACTTAGTCACATTCACCAAATAATTATAGTTAGACATCTTAACATTTAATTTTAATGCCTGAATGCTTAATATATATTTTTTTGAATGCTTAATATTTTCTTTTCAAAAAAAATATTTAAAACAATCCCTTAGATTAGAACAATATATGATTTTCTCTTCCATGAAAATTTGGTTTAGTACTTAAACAACCGACGTTCATTAAAAAAAAAAAAAAAGGTACTTGAACAACCGACGTAAAAAGCGTGTAATAAAGACCAAAGACTTTGCATTAATTTGTCACGCAAGTATACCACATATCATTTCGACTGCAGACTTCTCCTTTTGCCTCACACCCTTTCACGAATTGACCATGAGCATGTTTAAGGATAACTACCGCATATTGGGTTTCTCAAGTGGGCGTAGGAGGATCCCCGGTTCCCCTATAAAACCATTGACTATTCTTTGTTCTAATTACCCTAGAATCTCCAAGGGACATGGGTTCGATTCATGAATCTTTGCTACATTATTATTAGACAGGTTGTATGATTCGGTAGTGAGATGTACGAGCTTTTCTGGTCAATGCTCCCATTTCTCTGTTGATGGCGGTGCAATGTTTATTGTACACTTGCCACCAATTCGTTTGATTGTCTGTCATTTGACCATGTGTTTTTAGCTTTACTTATATTGAAATTAATACAAAGGGAAACTGCCTTTTGTATGGGTTTCTGTAGTTTTGGCTGACTGGAGAGAGCCTTAGTTGTCTGCACTTGTCCATGCTTTGATTGATATATGGGGTATGCAGTTGAAGTAAGGTCACCTACCTCAATCATGGCAAATATAGATGGACCACATCCAACTCTTTCACATTATTGTAATGTTAATAGAACAATTATCAATTATAGACTTCAATAAGATGAATAAAATTGTTTTGAGTAATAAACCACTATCAATAGCTATCATTTGTGTTTCAACAATTAATCCGCACAATTACTCGGACTCCAACCATCTCAAAATTGAAATTAGTTCTATGAAAAACTAATTTTTTTATTAAAAAAGAAAAAGAAAAAAAGAAACTGTGTTTGATGTAATTTTATAGATTTCTGTAGTAAAGTTCTATTAGAAACCAAAAAGAGAAATTTCTTTAAATAAAAAGTTTTGTTGGGACAATTGATTTCTTAATTTAGCAGGTGCTATTTGATTCCAAATACCACCTAAACATAACACCTAAAAAACGAAATTGTCCAGAAAATAATCAGACAACTGAAACCCCAGGATAAAACTTTTTTTTTTTTTTTTCATTTTCAAAAATGCCAACAAGTTCAGACACCAAATTTTCTATATTCAAAAGTGCAGTGATATATTGACAATTCTTTTGTATAAATTTTTTTATGTAATTTTTAGATATTATTAAATAAATAAATACACTTAATATCATGAATTTTAAATGAATAAAAAAACTCATCATTTAAATAATATATAAAATTATTTAAATAAATTATTTCTAAATCATTTCTATTCAAAACGCTGTCTACACCAGTTCCTAATTAGAAAACAATCCTGCCAACCATATGAACCCAAAAACTAATTAAATGAACCCTAAAACCGCACCTTAATTATTAAGGTTTAGTTTGACAATACTAACTTGTAATTATGACAGTAAGTTTTTTAATATTTTAACATCTTAAAAATATATAAAATATATTTAATATTTATTTTTATTAATAATTTATATATTTTTAAATAATAAAAAAATAAAAATTTAAGATTAAAATACTAAAAGGTGTTATTAATTGAACCCAGTTGCTATCACTCTCTGCAATTCCCAATTTAAAAAAACCACACAATATATAAAAGTCATTTTCCTTAAACTCACCCCAACAAGAAAGCAAATAAACTGCCTCTTGTGGGGCGTCACATCTTGAAAACCTCCTCTCCATCAAACAAACCCATCCAGGTTTTTTTATTGTTGACGTGTAAGAGTAGTTTGCATCAGCTTTGGCAAACACACATTCAGTTTTGTTTGTTTGTTTTTGTTTTTAATTTATTATTCATTTTCTTTATAAAAGGTTTCTATTCAGGAACTTTCACATTTTCTAGCTGAAATGCAACACAAAAAACATCTTAGAAATCTCAATACTGTCATGAATCCATTTTTTCCAGTCCTCTTTATTGTCTCCTCGGCAATTTCCAGGGTCGGAGCACAGTCTTTATCTAGTCCGTCTGATGGGTCTTCAACTAATTTCGAGCCAAGTCTGGCGATTATGGTTGGTATTCTAGGAATCATGTTTTGTTTGACATTTATCTTCCTCATATACGCCAAGTGGAGTCAAAGTGGGCTCCGATCATTCTCCTTCATCCACGGTGATAACAATCCGGCGGGACTTAACAACTCGCGGTCCAGGTTTTCTGGTATTGATAGAACAGTTATAGAGTCGCTTCCTTTCTTCAGGTTTTCATCACTGAAAGGATCAAAACAGGGGCTGGAATGCTCTGTTTGCCTGTCGAAATTCGAGGACGTTGAAATCCTCCGGCTGCTACCCAAGTGCAAACACGCCTTCCACGTTAACTGCATCGACCGGTGGCTTGAGACGCACTCCAGCTGCCCCCTTTGTCGCCACAGGATCAGTGCCGACGACCCAACAATCTTCGCTTACTCTAACAGTCGCCGGTTCCTGTGGAGTCAATCTCATCGAAGAGAAGACTCCAATATCGAACTTTTTGTTCAGCGAGAGGAAGACCGTCCAGGATCCACCAGATTCAATTGCCCGGAACAGGATAATCAGAAGAGTCTGCATAAATTCAATCACAGGATCATTGTTTCAGACTTTGTTTTCAAGAACAGATGGAGCAACCTGAGTTCATCAGACATGATGCACTTGAATTCCGAGATGCTTAACGAAATTTCCAGCAATAGATTTTCTTCTTCCCTTGAAGTTACCGGACAGTTTCCGGTGCCGGTGATAGAAAACGAACAGAGCGTGAAGGTCAAGGAGGAGATTGAGATGAAAAGATCATTCCAGACAAATGCAAATTTGATCAACGAAACCAGACCCATTCTTCCTTCCACATCAAATTCAACAGCAAGTTCGAGTAAAAATCAAACATCGAGGATTATAATGAATCAAAACGAGAAAAGATCCATGTCGGAAATCACAGGTTTTTCCAGATTCCGAGGTTTGGGGGTGATGAACAGAACAGGTGACTCTGCCTCAGCCCTGTCGGCAACAGATATAAAGGAAGACAGAATCCGGCAGCTATGGTTGCAAATTGCCCAGAGAACGGTTCAATGGTTTGCTAACGGGAAAAGATTGTCTCTAAAATCCCAGGATACAATACAGCATTTAGATGTGTGAAATTAATGTTCTTATTATTTTTCGTTTAACCTTTCCCACCATCTTGTTGAATTTGGCCAATATTTTAAGAAATGATATAGATACAATGTAAGTGATATTTTAAGCTTAATTATGAATTTTTATTACTATACATGATTTTTTTTTTCTGAATCGGCACAAATTTTAGTATTTGAATTTAATTTTAGTATTTGAATTTAATTGATCAAAATTTCAACTTTCATCGTTCCTCAAAATTTCTCATGTGAAAAAATAATGATTAATTTTTTTTTATTTAAGTTTAACAGTGTAATATTATATATATTTATTTATTTATTTGATATATTATCTTTATAAACTATATATATATCCACTCATTCAATTAACAAAAGGATTTTTTTTTTTTCTTGAGTGTTTAAGAATTCACTTTTGTCGTGATTCCAGATCTCCTTTTATGCCTCAATTTTACTCGATCAATAAATTACAGTTGTAACCCAATACGAAAGATGAGCTTCTAATTTTGGAAGGTTAATTAGAAGTCCGCACACAGGGGTTGGAACTTGGATGCAGGGGTTAGAAGTTAGATCCTCCTGCACACTTTTAACAGTTCGGTTGGCTTTAACGTTCTGTTGGAACTTGAAATTGAACACTTGAGCTTCATGGGTTAGTTGTATTAAGGAGTTGGAACCATTTGTAAAATCAACTTAATTTGAAATAAATTCGAATTTGTTAACTATGATAGCTTCACCTGGGAAAGGAAACTCATGGAAGAGACAATTCTGAAATTAAGATGCATGATTTTATTTTGTAAAATAAGAAAAGTAATTTAAATCAAGATAGTTAAAATTAAGAATAAATTTTATATTTATAATTAGTTTGAATTTATTATATCAAAATTAAGAGTAATAATTGTAACTATAATATTATCATATTTTAAGATTAATTTGGTTAGAGTTTATGTAAAATGAAATCCTAATATCAAGGCATTTGACTCGACTAGTTTATAAGTTCTTATAAATTGTTTTGTCTATAAATATCAAATAAAGTTGTATTAATATATAGAGAATACAAATTTCATTGATTTTCTATGAAGTTCATGTGAACTTCATGCCTTTGTCTTTGAAAGTAAAGGGAGCAGGGCCACATGGCTTCGAATCATCTTGGAAGCAAAAGAAGTAGGACTACAACTACAAGGCTTCGAATCAGTGCTTGATGAATGGAAATTCTATGTTTTACATTTTTTTTTTTTTTTGATCGGCCAAAAAGGATCTTTATTACTCCAAACTCGTTTACTAAAAAGATAATTTCTTCCATATCAGCTTACAATTTTATTACTCTAGGCCACATAAAATCAGATCATGAGTAATCAAATCAAAGACTCGTTCCTTTGCCTACAAGCTTCTTTTGGAGCCATAAGTCCCAATCAACATCAGAATAAATATTCACTTTAATCCAAAAAAATGATCGACGCTTGATAAGCTCTATTACCTTTTCCATTGTAAGTGCCTCCTCCTGAAAAATTCGGCCGTTTCTTGATAACCAAAGGGACCATACAATATAAAACCAAATGATTGTCCACACCTCTTGTAAGTTTTTGTTGGGTGCCAAGCCAAAATGTTGCGAAATATGTTTCCGGCTCTCTTTGTGATGCCAACTGTATGCCCCACCACTTATAACAAGAAGCCCAAATCAGCCATGATGTTTTGCATTCGAAAAGTAAATGATCAGTGGTCTCAAGTACTTGTCCACAATTTGTACAAGAGGAATCATTATCCTGAATTTTAACTCCTCTTCGCAACAAATTTTCTTTTGTTGGAATTTTGTTTTGCAGTGCTCTCCACACAAAAGTTGCCACCTTAAGGGGGACGTGCTTATTCCAAATTGTTGTGTATGTCTCAGTATTTGCTTCCCTTGATTCTGAAGATAGCCTATCATACACTGAATGTATGTAGAGTAGCCACCATTGTGTCCATCCTTCCAAATCCAAATGTCTTGCTTTCCTTGTTTAAGGTGCACCCTCTGTAAGTCTAATTGAAGTTGTTACAAAATAATTTATAGATTTCCATACAAAAAAAAAGGTCTCCTCCATCTCCATCTCCATTGCCACTCCTCTTCACTCCAACCTTCCATTTCAGAAATTAAAGCATTTTTATATATCCTTTTAATAAATTATATAATCTATCATATTTTACCGTTAGAGGACTACTTCCCACCCATATTTATGCTAAAAATGAGTATCATTCCCTTCCCCAACCAACTTAATCACTCTCCTCCTAAACCAGCCTTCACTATTATTATTTTCCTTATCCAGCTCCCATAAATCAGACCACCATCTTGAGCTACCCCCTCCCATTCATTCTCCTATTTTACATTAAAACATTGAAAAACCTTTTTTTTTTTTTTTTTTATGAAATGTCATTTTGAAAAAGAATCATTGAAATCACTCATTTATAATTATTCATCTAAATTAACGCAACCTAGATGTTTCATAATATTAATTGTCAGTTTACTGTTAAAATCAAAGTAGCCACCTACTTAATTAAAATTTGGTTGTTTTGAGAGGTATGTATATATGACGATGAGGAAGTAATATTCACGAGTACCATAGTTTTTTTTTATCTTGATAAAACGAGTACCATAATTTGAGTTATAGATGCCTACCTTCTCCTAAAATACGGTGGTAAAATTATCCATTCTGAATGGAGACTCAAGCTCGGATCTCTAAATGAATGAGAGGGATTTGGTAAGTGAGAGTTATTTTTATTATATAAAATATCATCATATAAAGTTATAAATTAAATTTATTGTTAATTAAGTGTTGCTTTGTAGACAAAATTTAGGGTTTGAGTCTTTTCAATAGTATTTAGAGAAATTAATTTATTTAAATGTATTAAACTGATATAGTGGATGTATCGTTAATATTTCTCAACAAGAATTAATCTTAAAGTATGTAAAAATTAACTCAAAAATACCTTAATTGAAAATTAAAAAAAAAATCATCATATATAAAATTAGTGTAAAATGCATGATTCACTTTGTGATTCAAGGCATGGTTTAAAATTAAAATAAAATAAAATAGATAGAGCAATAGTGACATAAATTCAAACTACACCATTACTAACAAAAAGGAAAAAATTAGTAGCATATGGAAACTAATTCAAGACAATGTGACTAAAAATTCATATAAAGAACAAAAGAAACAAAAGCTGGGCTGTCAAGATTCATGAAAATCTCAACATCCACACACTATTAATTTACTAATCCCTTAATGACTGGAGCAATTAGTTAAGTATGACTTGTGCGGTTAGTTGAGGTTATTTTTGGCTGGAGTTAGGGGCGGGAGCCATAAATTTGTGTCAAGGGAGCGAACTGTTGTACTGACATCAAAGATGGATTTCTAGAGAATTGTGACTTGTGAATAATGGTTTTTTTTTTTTTTTTTTTTGTACATTGGGAATCTGGGGGATGAAGGTAAATTTTCAATGTGTTGATGGAGTTAAACTTTCAATTAACTAAACCCAAATACTTGAAGATTTGGGAACGAATCACTGGACTTGAAAGCTCGATTTTGACTTAAATAATGTTAAAACTCACATCTATGAGAAAACTGAAATTATATTCCTGAAACATAAAGAAACGACCTGAAATTCATATTAGTATTTAAAATTTAATTTTAAATAGCCAATAATTTAAGTAATTTAATAATTTTTTTATTAAAAATAAAAAATTTTAAATTTGAATCAATACATAGGTAGAGTGAGATAAGGATAAAAGAAAATTGCTTTTTATTATATAAACTAAATAAAAAAATTAATTTTAAACAAAATTAGTGTTTTTTATCCAAGAAACAATGAACTATATTAAACTAAAACAAGCTACCATAAAGCAAGAAACTGCATGGCTGTTGTAGGAGAATAGCTAACAGCTTATCATCCACTGAGGAAGGTTTGCCATACAGTATGTACATTCTTCCGCAATAGAATTAAAAATAGGATAATGATTTATGCACCCGTTGGTTCGACACCTGGTGGGTGCACATTACCTAAACCAAATAATTTTAAAAGTAAAATTACAAATTTGCCCTC